CAAGCTTTGAGAGACTGGGGCTCAAGTTCATTAAAAATTTTTGCGCTTCTAAAAAGAAAGGTCCTTCTCCCTGCCTCCCTCTCAGGCGCTTCGTTTTCACGCAGAGGCGAGCGCGATATACGAGGGACTGGCGACGAAGCGCAAGGGTCCATATGGGAAGGAGAAAGCACAGTTGAGAGACCTCTGGGTACGAGGCAGTCCTTCTCCCATAATTTAATCCAGACAGATCTATTAAATTGACGCTGTATTCTATCCGTGTCATGTTGTAGTTCACAATTGCTCCAAACGATGTCACAATAATCAAATAATGGAAGATAATGTTTACTTTTTTCTTAGAGTAGTAATCTTTATACTGTTTACGGTTCCTCAATAATACCCACGCATTGCTCGGTAGACTAGTTGTGATGTCTTTTGTTTTTCATTTTCAAGGAACTTATTCAAAATGCGGAAGATGCGGATGCTACACAAGTCAAATTCCTGCACGACAAACACAGCTATGGAACAGATAAGCTCTATAATGAGGAACTGGCAAAATTTCAGGTATCGCCTTCTCAGTTCGTTTTCATCTTAAACATGACCAAAGTGAGTTTCGTAGATAGTCTATCACAATGACTTTCCAATCCACCCTGCTTGTCCTTTTTTTCAAGACAGCCCCCTAAATCACTACCGGTCTTCTCTAACTTTCCGACCTTCTTGCCTCAAACAAATTGCTCTTTTTTAATGTAGTCATTCTCACTTCCTTTATATGAGTAAATGGCCTGACAAACTCAACATCCCACGTCCAACCGCACCCACAACTCATGCCGATGCCGTCATAAGCTTTTGATAAAGTTGCTAAATAAAGCTATATAGCTCGGTGGTCACTCTGTTGATGGCCACTTGACCATAGCGGGGGCTCTTGCTCTAGTCCTGGCAGATATATTCATTCTTGTTTCAAGGTCTTATAAACGGCCTTCTTCCCTACGGCCCTCTGTGTCTGATCTCAAGATGAGCCTTTTGAAAAGGTTCGACTATAATTGAGACGTCATATCAAAGGTATACAAAAAAAATATGAGTTAAGCAACTTATATCTTGGTTGTGAGGTGTCAGATCCTCGCCAGGTAGCTTATGGTGTACCTCAAGGGTCGATCTTGGGACCAGCCCTTTTTAATATATACATCAACGATCTTCCAGCTGTCCCTAACCTGTGCTCACTAAAGAGTTACGTGGATGATTCCCAGCTCTATCTCTCGTTTCCTGTCCAGGAGACAGCCATGGCTGTGGAACATTTATCCGAAGATTTGCAACGGATTGCCGCCTGGTGTTGCACACACAGCTTGCTGATAAATCCAGATAAGACTAAGTTATTGCTTCTTGGAACCCCGCAGATGTTAGCTAGTGTGCCGGAGGGTTTTGGAGTTACGCTACTCGGTAAGGAGATTCTACCGTCTCGTTCTGCAAAAGATTTGGGGGTCATCGTGGACTCGCGCCTTAGTTTTGACGAACATGTGACCGATGTTGTATCTAAGTGTACAGGTAGCCTGTGCCAAATCAATCGTGTGAAACATTTGTTTGATAGGTCTACGCTCATAACCATCATAAATTCATTAGT